AAAAAAAAAAAAAAAAAAGAAAGAAAAAAAAGAAGAGACTTAAAGGGTAGGGAAGGGGAAATGACGAGGAGTCAAGGGCTGTCTTCTCTTTTGCTCTTGGCAGGCCAAACATATATCCCAGAGCTCCCTTTCTGGTTTCTATGGCTGTCTGTTTTCCTAGGTCTGCCTGGTCAGTCCATCTGCAGCATGGTCACATTTCACTTCCTACTTCATCTAGGTAGAAAGAGGATTTTTTTCCCCTTTCACCAAGCTGAACATGCCTTGGAGGCAGAAGTCATGTGTAACTCAGCTCCAAATGCTACCTTCTCTCTGGCATGTGGCAAGAACCTTTAGATGATCAATGAATGTCGGCAATTAATGTGGGATCTAAAGGCTATGAATTTCCCCCCAATACAGCTTTAGCTGTATCAAATAGTTTTTGCTATATATTGTTTTTCATTACTGTTGAAATACATATTTTTATAGCATCAAACTATCTTTGACAAAGAAAGGAGAATTATTTTCCATTCTCAGGAAAATCACAGCTCAAAGACAAAGAAACTTGCCCTCAGCATACAGCCTGCAGCCCCTGCTTTTGCTGGACTCCAGGATTGAAGATCCACCCCGTAAAGTAGGAGAACTGCCCTGAATTGAGTCCTTCCTCTGCCTCTGCAAGTTTCCACCATTTCACACCTTCTCTGCTACCATTAGATCCCCTGTGAGTATCTCCTGAGACTCCTGCTATGAAATTGACACTAGGAATACTGCAAACATCATCTAAAACCTTGCCTGGAGGAGGAAGAATACAGTGGCCAGAGACAGAACCACAGCTCCTCTGGGCTCAGCCGAGAAGTAAAGAACGAGGATGCTTAACCCCTTTGGGATCCATTCTTCCTCCACTCAATACCTCTCAACTGATCAGCATCACCCAGAGTCTCAGGATCCCTGGTCCCAAATTACTTAACTTCTTTCTCCCTGCACGCCATCTTCTCAAGATCTTGTTTACAAAAGAGTTTGATGAAGAGTTCACATGGATGCGGAAATGAGTCACAACAGCTCACAGTGCAGCATCTCTTTTGGCCATTTGCATTTCAAAAGGAGTCAAACCTTAAATCAAAGAGCGCAAAGCTCTTGATGCAATTCCAGTTACTAATGAGAGCACAGCAAAAAGCTTTGGAGAAGAGGCTGAATTTAATTCTTTTATATTTGCACCATGAGCAGAACTGGTAGAAATTAGTCATGTTATCAGTGCCATGCACCGTACCTTCGTTTCCTCATTTGTAAAATTAGGGCTAAGCAGCTGCTTACACAAGCCTCTCTGGGATCCAAGCCTGGGATCTTTGCAGCAGAATGGGTCACACAGTGACCGAGCAGAAATGTTTACTTTAAATGTCTCCTTGACTCTGCTGAGAAGCAGGACAGATGGCCAGCAATGGACCATGACCCCATTGAGGACTCGAGCTGCACCCCTTGGCCTCTGTTTCCCTAACAGCAGCTGACTCCCTCCCATTGTCCAAAGCTGGGCAGGAAAGTGCAGATCTTCATAGCTGGACTTCACAGAGGGTACAGCCCAGAATGTCCTCAGAATGGCTCATCTGTGCAGCAAGAGACAGACCTACTATAGATAAAGCCAGGGTACGCTGTACTTGTGGGGCCTCAGTTTTGTCATCTGCCAAATGGGAATGCTGCTGTCTCCCTGCCCACCTCCTGGGCCAGATGGGCATCTCTGGGGTGAGGAGGTGCCTTGTGGAAAAGGACAGGGCACAGTGACTGTGGCAGCCACATTTCCGTGGAAAAGCAGAACCTTTCCACGTGGGCCTCCAAGATGCTCCTGTGTGCTGTGCTGGAGGGAGACCAGCGGGCTTGTGCTTCTCTCCTCCTCTCCCCAGTGACTTTCTTCCTCTGCAAGAGCCACTTCCCCACAGGTATGTCCACCTCCAGCCAGTGTGGGCGTACAGCCTCCCAGCCTCTGGGCTTCTCTCCATCACAGCACTCCAGGCTGGGGAGGTCACCAGGGGCTCCCGGGAAGCCACGACACTGGCGTCGGACTGACATGGGACTGGGGAGTGGGTCTGATCTGCTGTCCTTCTGCTTACTTCCCTCTAGCAGAACCGCACTGGGGGGCCCAGTGGAGAAGATGGACAGGTGTTACTGCCCAGCTGGACCCAGCAGCTCTGCAGAAAGCAGTGTCTGTCTCAGGGGTTGAGAGAAAGCTTCTAGACCCTCAGACACCCCTCCAGGCCGCATTTCTGGTCCAGCTTCCCAGGCAAATGTCCTCTGCACCCTCGAGGTAGTACCAGACTTGCGGGCCCTGTATCCCAAGCTGGATAATGGGAACTAGTGGAGAGACAGGTTCTGGGCTGGATACAGTTCTTCCTGATGGAGACTTGAATCATCTTACTGCGTCTTGGCCCCTCTGGACCTGCTTTAACTCCCTGGAGCCACACAAAACAAGCACGATACCCATGCCCCAGCCTCTTCCCCACCGTAACATCCCTGGGTCTCCAGCAAGAGGCACCCCAGGCCATCTCACTGTCAGCCCACTTTGATTTCCTCACTCCCACAATTTTCCTCCACAATACAAGCCAGATTTCCCTGTCTTAAGTGTGTGCCATTGAGTTTTGGAACTTAAATTTAGGACTTTGCATTTCATGTCCTTTTGCATGTCCTTGTCTTGCTTTCAATAAATCAAATAAATCTTGAATCCATTGCCTTGTGGGTGTTATGGCTCCTAGCTGCAGATTTGATAAGCACACCTCTTTTTTTCCTTATTAGTAACCCTGAGACTGCTATCAAGCCTTTAATGAAACTCTCATTGTCAGCAGGAGTGCCACCATTGTCCCCACAGCTCTCTCTCAGTCCACAGGGGTTCATGGCAAATATTAGCATCTTCCTGCTGCATTGCTATCATTCACCTCACCTCCCAGATGCTCCAAAAGATAAATTTTGGCAAGTTTAGCCTGATTTGTTCTTAGAGAGCATTCACATAGATTCCTAGTAAGCACTTATTTTTTTCCAATGCAGGGGATTGGGTTATACCACTGAGCTATATTCACAGCCCTGAAAACATTTTTTTATTAAAAAAAAGACATACTTACAAGTATTATAAAACAATTCTGAGCACTACAAAGGAGAGAATGAGCATCCTGGAAATCTCACATGAAGGACAACCCATTTGGCCTATCCCTGTGGTTTTTGTTTTGTTTTGTTGAGACTGGGTTTCACTATACAGTTCAGGCTGGTCTTGAACTAGCGATGCAACCCAGGCTGGCCTCAAACTCATGGCAATCCTCCTGTCTCAACCTCCCAAGAGGTGAGAGTATAGGCATGTGCTGCCACACCTGGCCTCCATGTGTTTTTGATTCTTTGTGTCACCTTCCCTTGACCCAAAGACTTCAATGGGGATGAACAGCTTCTTTCTCCACAGATGTCCCAGAGAGCTGGTGCCCAGGGGTCTCCCTGCCTTGCCCTCTCTGATGCCACAAACAGGAACAAGCCCGGACTGCAGGGTCAGAGTGTCCCTCAGCCAGGGGCAGTGGGGAGAGGCGGCAAGCTGTACTCATTGCCTGTGGGGCAAATCACTGAACCACTGCTGCTTTTTGCATTTTTCCATTCCCAGGGGATGGAACCCCCAACTGCCCATAGCTAAAACCAGTTCACCGATGGGCCTATTTTTGCTTTTTTCCCCCTCTCTAACTCCCTCTCCTCACTAACTCACTTCTGCTTCCCTGCATTGCTCCCCAAATCCAAGTCCTTTTCTTAGGAGGTGCGTTTAGAAGCAGAGAGACCAAACGAACACATCACTATCTCTTGGCACCTGCATATCTCCAACAGTCAGCCTACAGAACTTTGCATGAAGGGGATCCTGGCACATGTGTTCTAAAACCCACTTTTTTGTTACTAACATGATACATTCATAATATGAACTCATAACAATCTGTTCACTGTAGGCAGTGAACATATTTTCCCATTAATAATAAAACCCTGGTGTTGTATGAAAGGAGAAAAGGTTAGCACTATCCCTGATGAGGTTGGAAGAGGCCCTCAGCCTGACAATAGGCATACAGTTAAGGCACTGTCACCTTCTTAGAGGCATCTAAACACCATTTGAGCCTGGAGTTGTTGTCCTCTAAGTATTCACTATGTATTCATCAGTTTACTCTGGAGTTTTAATAGAGGTCAATATAAACCTTTTTCTTATTTTGGTGTTTTCTTTTTAGACAGGGTCTCACTATGCAGTTGAGGCTGGCCTGTTAGCTCCCGATGTAACCCAGGGTGACCTTGAACTCCTTGAAGAGATCTTCTGATCCTCCTGCCTCAGCCTCCTAAATGCTGAGATTATAGCCCAGCCCAATATAATTCTTTTAGACAATTAAAAAAATTTTAGCCAGGCATGGTGGGGCATATTTGTAATTCCAGCTGCTCAGGAAGCTGAGGCAAGAGGATCACAAGTTTGAGATCAGCCTGAGCAACTTAGGCAAAACCTGTCTCAAAATACACTTTTAAAAAAGTTGCATCCTGGGGTATAGCTCAGTAGTAGAGCACTTGCCTAGCATGCTTAAAACCCTGGGTTTGATCCTCAATAAAGAACCCCCTGCTCTTTGAAAATCAGGATATTTGGCCAACTTCAACTTTCTAGAAATTCCTGAATTCTCCATAATTTCCTCTAAGGCGATGAGGCAGACATAAGTCTGCAAATGCTCTGGGTCCCTGGATGTCATACACCAGGGCCTTGAGGGGCGAGTTCTTTAGAGGTGGCTTGGAGCCTCTTGCTAGCACTGCATGTATTGGGTTTCAATTTCCTCCTCTGCTCTTTATTTCACAATTTGAAGTAAAATTGCCTGTGTCCTGTTCTGCCTGCCTTCAAGCCCCAAGCTGTGAGCAGATTCTTTCTTGTTTTTATTACTCCAAAGGCTCCTTGCTCTGCCTTTGCCAATCTCCCCAGCTTCTGTTTACCAGGGCCCCAACCCTTTGCTATTATTACAGATCCTGCCGATCTTCCAGCTGCATCCTGGGTCACAAATTCCTCCTTGCCTCTCTTGTGTGTGCTTTCAAACTCTTGCTCACAGGGAAGCTACAAGAGGAGCCTCCATAAAACCTCCTTTTCATTCTTGACAGCATCTGTATTTACTTACTGGAATTTCAGGGGTTTATGGCCTCTCATAGCAGCCTCCTCTCATGGCATGAACACCACTTTCCTCATTTTAGCCCCCCAGACACCTTGTGAAGCCAGCTGAATGCACGCTTCTCCACTCAACAGACAGGTAACCGATGGCGCAGAAAGGTTTGTGCACAATCTCAGAGACATCGAGCAAACCTGTGGACCAGTCCTCCGTCCTTCAGCTTTCCTAGCCTTTATGCATATAGTTCCCTCGCGGGCTGAGAGAGGGCTCCAGACCCCATCTGGTTAGGCTGGAGCCAGCAGCCTATGCCTTGAGCCACTACCCCTTAAGGTCCTGAGGGTAGGGCCATCCTGCCCTCCCTCTCCCCAGGGAGAGGAAGCCTCTGTATGAAGGTAGTCTCCTCTAGAGTCCCATCTTTCTGGCTACCCTCACCCCGACAGCAGCAAAGTCAGTGTCAACTCCTGCTCAGGTGTAAGTGACCAAGTTCAGGTGTGTGCCTGTGTACACACACACACACACACACACACACACATGCGGGACATAGAGCAACCCAGGGTGTCTCCCCCAGCCTGTTCTATCTCTGTCACACAGGAGTTCCACAGTTTTTGGTTTTTGCCAGCCAGGATCTATGGGTTTCCCACACCATCCCCTCTCCTCCCCCTCGGCCCCCTGTCCCGTCAGTACCCTGGCCACCTTGCACCTTGTTCCGGGTCACTCACCCTCCATGCTGCCCACTCCTGCCTGCTCCGTGACAGTCTCCGATGGAGGGAGGCTGTGGACACCTTCGGGTGGTCAGGGACACCTGAGGGCCTGGGTCCCCAGCCCTGCGCCCCTGGCAATGCGCTCCGCGGGTCGGGCCGGTGGAGTCGGGCAGGGGGCGCTCACAGACCCCAGCCCCTGCCCTTTGGGTTGCTCTGAGGTTGGGGCTGGAGCAG